CAAAGCTCTCGTAGAAAAACAATTTGGCACTACCATTAAAAGTGTTAACTCTGAATGGGGTGGTGAATTTTGTTCTCTCAATTCTTCTTTAAGGATGTCGGTATTGTTCATCGTTTAGCGTGCCCACACACTCATGAGCAAAATGGCACTGCTGAACGCAAAATTCGTCACATTATCGACATTGGACTTGCTCTCCTTGGCCATTCCAGTACCCCTTTTCGGTTTTGGGATTTGGCTTTTGAAACTGCTGTGTTTTTTATTAATCGCCACCCTAGTAAACCTCTTCAAGGTCACCTACCCTTTACTACACTATATCACCAGCCACCTGATTATACCTTTCTTCGTGTCTTTGGTTGACCTTTCTTCGTGTCTTTGGTTGCGCTGTCTATCCTCTTCTTTGCCCTTATAATAAACATAAATTCTCCTTTCGTTCTACTCAGTGTGTCTTTCTTGGGTATTCTCCATCTCATCTTGGTTATTGCTGTTTTGATGTGGTTGATAACCATCTTTATGTTTCTCGTCATGTTGAGTTTGATGAGAAACTCTTTCCCTTTAAACGTCCTATTTCTAGTTCTCCTTCTTCGCTGCCGGAGTCTCCTGCTACCCCTTGGTTACGTGTAACCAGTTATCCTGGTATGCTTGCATCGTCTTCTGCGTCTTCTTCGTCTCCTTTTAGTACACCAGTTCTTTCGTCTCCTCCTATCCCTCCCGACTCATCATCTTTAGCTAGGTCTCCTGCATCCAGCTCTTCATCATCTGATTCCAGTCCTCCGCCGCCACCTCCTCTTCCTTCTTTCAGCACTCAATGACACTTCGTCCACAACCCAAGCCCAAGAAAATCTTTGATCCCTCGGCTCATCTTACCTCTGTTTCCCCAACTTTGTCTACTGCTCCTACATCCTTCACCCAAGCCAAATCCTTTCCTCAGTGGCAGAATGCCATGAAGGATGAAATTTCCGCCCTTCTCAAAAATAACACATGGACTTTAGTTCCCCCTCCTTCTTCCGGCAATGTTGTCGGCAATCAATGGCTCTATAAGATTAAGACCCATGCTGATGGCTCCATTGAGCGGTATAAGGCTCAGTTGGTGGCTCGAGGTTTTACTCAGTCTTTTGGGGTTGATTACACTGACACGTTTAGTCTGGTTGTTAAGCCGGTCACCATTCGCTCGGTTTTGACTGTTGCCCTGGTACGTGGATGGTCGATTTCTCAGCTTGATGTCAGTAATGCCTTTCTTAATGGTGTTCTGAGTGAAACTGTGTATATGGTTCAGCCACATGGGTTTGTTGATCCGGTGCGCCCTCATTATGTGTGTAAACTACATAAGTCCTTATATGGTTTTAAGCAAGCTCCTCGGGCCTGGTATTCTCGGCTGGCAGCATTTCTGCTTACCTTGGGTTTTGTGGAGTCTCGTCGTGATCCTTCCCTCTTTGTCTATCGCCGTGGGTCTCAGTTGTGTTTTTTGCTGGTCTATGTGGATGACATAATTCTTACAGACAGCACTTCTGGTTTGGTCCAGCATTTTATCTCTTGTCTTGCTAAGGAGTTTTCTCTTCGGGATTTAGGTCCATTGAGTTATTTTCTTGGCGTCGAGGTTCGTCGTACTTCCAAGGGTTTGCTTCTCTCTCAGCGCAAGTATGTCACTGATTTACTACGACTTGCGAATATGCATACTTGCAAACCTATTTCCACTCCTTTGCAGGCTAATGTTGTGTTGTCCCGTTTGGATGGTACTCTGTTGTCTCCTGATGATGCGACTACTTATCGCCGGCTGTGTGGCAGTCTGCAGTATACCACTCTTACTCGTCCAGATATCTCTTTTGCGGTTAATAAGTTTTGTCAGTTCATGCATCAGCCTCGCACTTCTCACTTTCAGGCTCTCAAACGGGTTCTTTGCTATCTTCGTGGTACCGTTGATTTCTGTTTAGTTCTGCATCCTACAGATTTGGGCACTCTTACTGCCTTTAGTGATGCTGACTGGGCGCTGGATGTCCGGATGATCGTCGTTCTACTACTGGTTTTCTCATTTATTTAGGACCTAATCTCATTGCCTGGGCATCTCAAAAGCAGCCCACTGTGGCTCGATCGTCTACTGAGGCTGAGTTTCGTGCGGTTGCTAATGTCTGTGTTGAACTGCATTGGGTGTGTCATCTGTTGTCCGAGTTAGGCATTTCTTTACATCGTCCTCCCTCTATTTGGTGTGACAACAGTAGTGCAATTTTTCTTGTTGTCAATCCTGTGTTACATGCTCGTACCAGACATGTTGAGGTTGATTTTCACTTTGTTCGAGATCATGTTCGGCGAAAGTTTGTTTCGGTCAAGTCTATCTCTGCTGCTGATCAGCTTGCTGATATTCTGACAAAACCCTTGTCCAAAGAATTATTCTTTCGATTCCGGGACAAACTTCGCCTTCTCTCTTCTCCGCCGTAAGTTTGCGGGGGCGTATTGTAATATTTAGTATATTTCCTATAATATTCTTGTTTAGGGTTTGTTATTGTCTATATATAATCTGTATATTGTACATACCATTATCATGAATTCAATACAATTTTCCTATTCTAAGTCTTACTTACTAACATTATTAGTTTAATTTCTCACTTGATTGTTTTCAGAAAATTCTGTCCTTTGAGTATTATTACAAGGGGGAAAAAATGTGTAAGAGTTTTGAGTAAGACCAATTACAAGTATTTTTTACTTAAATCAGTTTTTTTTTTAACAGATATTAATGTCGATCAATTTTATATATTATTATCAACTTACTCAAAAAGGATAGTCGAATTCAGATTAACCACGTCAGAATTTGACAACTCAATGTCACTAAATCAACTGGATTTGTCATAATTAGGGAAATATCATCGGAGATGAGTCGGTTTTCGTGATTATTTTTTTGAACAAAAAGCAAGAAAACTCCGGCATTTTTTTTAATAATGTAAACCACTGTATCAGTTAGGTAGCCCAACCTTAACAAGTGGTGATAAAGTACCGATTGTGGGATCTTAATACGGTTGAAAAAGATTTGACTAATGGGGATTGTCTAAAAGAAACAGTTCCAATTGAAACAAATTACAAGATCGATAGTTAACATAACATATGAATTCATAATTTTCTTACCACATCGTTGTTCGGGTGTGCTTAAACGTTGGGATGACGAATCCTGATGTAAGTCACACGATCGTGCATATCTAGAGGTTGATTCATACCCCAAATAAGGCAGGCAGAAGGCATGATAATGTGAGTCGGACAAGGATACATAACAAAAACAAGTCAGTAAAAAAGGATAGGAGTAACAATAACAAACTTGTCTTTTGAAGCAGGCAATCCCGTTTGCGTTACCCAACCAAGCACAATGTCGCCCTGTTCTTAGTGTTTTTATCTATTTGAGTATGTAATCCTCCCAATTTAATGCCGAGTTTCGCAGTTTGTTTGATTGATTAAATGGCCAAATGTACCTCTAATGCGATGATTCACTACTATATAAAACATGTGAACACACATTTTGACTGCAATGTCACATTTCTTCTACTTACCAGTTATGTTTTTATATGTACTGTTAACACAATTCTTATCTAAAACTACGTGACATAGAAAAAATTATTTTAAGCAATAGTAAATATCAAAATAGTAACATTTTGATAGCGATCATCATGTGTAACATAGAACACGCAATGTAATGATTAATTTTTCAAAATATCAGACAAAAATATGGGGTTGAGCAACGTATATAGTAGCTTTCGTCTATGAAATTAACAGAGTTTGGCGAGGTGAGCTTCCTTCGAATCGATCAAAGCAGTAAATCTGTTGACTATTTCTCCAGTAAATTGTCTTTGGACGGAGTTTTTTTTTCCCCCTCTAATTTATTAGTACTCATCAATGAATGCTTGTTCAACGCGGCGACTCCTTTTTCCAGGTGCCACCCACGTACATAATACTACTAGTACGGCTCAATTTTAATAACTCGTCGGAGACCAAGGTCAACGGGGTTTGTAGGTCGTCGAACCTTAAGTTTTAAGTACATCATTACTAAGTCAAAACTAGAGTACAATTCACCATTTCATTTGTTTAGGCTCAGCAAATGGTCGTTCGATGGTTTCTATTTACAGATATTGACGAGCGGAGCCAAGTACTATATACAATTGTATGTAATATCTGATTTTTGTGAATTGTGTGACTCGATCGGACCATACACATAAACCAGAGGGGGCCGTGATTGGATATGAATTGGTATCCATTAATACTACCTTCGGTCATTAAAAAGGCAGTTCGATTTGTCCTAGGTTTAACTTAGTACACATTTTTAATCGACGAAAAACCTTTAAGAATATTTCATAACAATCAAGAGAATACAAAGAATGTGAGAATATATATTTAAGGTTTTTTTTGTTAATTAAAAATATGTATTAAGTACCTATGAAAAGTAAAAAAAACTTATAATAAGGACCGGAGAGAGTAGCATCTAAAACTAAGCTTAGTTTCCGGGTTGAGCCAAAAAGAAAAAATGACAGATGATGAAGATGATAGGTAATCTTTTACTGCTATTAACGCTTTTACTAAGGAAATTCAACTTACATTTTATCGCCCTCTAATTCTGGGATATTGGGAACTCCCTACGTTTAAAATTAAATTCTGTCCGTTTCCCCTCTTTCATCAATGACCCACGTCTCGCCAAATCCTTTCTTACAATTACTATGTTACATTCCATACTGGACTGGGGAGAATAGTTAACTTCAATTCCCCCCTCCTATCTGTAATTTATTCTTTCCGTTTTCCATTTCTCACATTACAACTCCCAAATTCATTACATTCATCAAGACCACCAAAAGGCATTTATTTAAAAATCAAAGCAAAAATCTTTTTTTTTTTTTTTGTGTGTGGGAGCAAAAAAAATGGAATCTTTTGTTTCATTATAGATGGTCCATATGGATAACAAGGATTGACTTGTTAATAATTTACAGATCATGCCGTTTTTTTTTAATTTTTTTTTAAAAATATAATTGCACAAAATGGGAAAAAGTCCTTGGAATTGAAAGTTTTAGAAGTTCAAACGTTTGCTTAGAATTAGATAGGGTCTAACATTAAACTTTTTTTAAAAAATAAGAAATCCATTTCTCTGTTTGTTGATTATAATAATATCCTCAATCTCTTTCTCTCTCTCTCTCTCTCTCCTGTGTAAAAAAACTCCATTCATCAGAAAGAAGACACAGGGGAAAGGGAGGGGGAGGGAGAGAGGCTCTCTCTCTCTCTATTTAAACGAAACAAAGCACAACCACATCTACCTCCTCTCTATATATTTACACTGATGATTAATGCGACTTTCTGCATACTTGTCATGCACATATTTCCCCACCGTTTTTTGTTGATTCATTGAGAGATTAATTATTGCCTGAATCATCTGAATTTCCTGACATTCCCCTTTTGAAATTCATGTTCTTTTTTTGAAATAGAAACCCAAGCCCAACCTCAATTGTAAAGTGGATGATTCTTCTGTTGTTTAATTTTTGATCGGAGCTTTCCTTATATATATATATATCTACGTGTTTCGTTTTCGACGAAAAAAGGGCTTTCTGAAATTGCAGTCTTTAGGAGGGAAGCGATAAAGGAGGAAGGCAAAACGGACATTTCCGTTTCTGGGTCTGTTTCTGCAGGACCCATATGATGTCTGATGGGTATTCCACTTCGAAGAAAAGTGATGATATTTGTGAAGACGTTTGCGGTGGAGAGGTTTGTTTTTTTCTTCTCTCGTGCTTATGATTCTATATTTGTTATATCTATCGTTCGTTCAAAGGTGGGAACTTTGGGCTTGTTTTGTGGATTGTTTGATGTTTTTCGAGATTGTGCATGAAGAGGTTGTTTGTCTTCGATTACTTTATTAAAATTGTCTTGCTGTTTCCCCTGCTTCTGGAGTAATTTTATGTCACATGTTTGTCTGCTTTGTTGTTGCTTCTGGAGTAATGAATTTGATGATTCTTAGGCTTTTACTCTCTAAGGCAGCGATTGCTGTAATTTTGGGGCATGCTATACTAAGTGTGTCAGGATTGTTCTTTTTTCGGATTGGGTTGTTCGCAATTGCAGAATCTGAAGTCGTTTGCTTTTTCTTTTTTGATATTGAGCAGAACCCAAATTCACCGATGAGCATGTCAAGACTTCGTTGTTGTATTCTTCACGGGCTACTGGATATGAGGACCATCCTTTTTCTATTTATTATTGTTCCAACGGGCATAATAGGTGGTTATTTTCATGGCCAGAAGGTGACCTACTTCTTCCGTCCACTGTGGCAAAAGGCTCCCGATCCCTTTGTTGAGATAACTCACTATTACCATGAGAATATTACGATGGAGAATCTTTGCAAGCTTCATGGCTGGGGAATTAGGGAATACCCAAGACGTGTGTTTGATGCTGTTCTATTCAATAATGAAGTAGACATGCTTACAATTCGGTGGAAAGAGTTGTATCCTTACATAACACAGTTTGTTCTTCTGGAATCCAATTCAACCTTTACCAGTTTACCAAAGCCTCACTTTTTCGCTGCTAGTCGGGAAAAGTTCAAATTTGTTGAGCCCAGATTGACATATGGTACTATTGGGGGTAGATTTCAGAAAGGTGAAAATCCGTTTATTGAGGAGGCATATCAGAGAATTGCACTGGACCGGTTACTTGGAATTGCTGGCATTGAGGATGATGATTTGCTGATAATGTCAGATGTTGATGAGATCCCAAGTAGTCATACAATCAACCTGTTGAGATGGTGCGATGAGATCCCTGAAGTTCTTCATCTACAGCTAAGAAATTATTTGTACTCGTTTGAGTTTTATTCTGATAGCAAGAGCTGGAGGGCTTCAGTTCATCGGTACAAGAAGGGGAAAACTAGGTATGCACATTTTCGCCGGACCGACTATCTCTTATCGGATGCTGGCTGGCATTGCAGCTTTTGTTTCCGCCATATTAGTGATTTTATATTCAAGATGAAAGCATACAGCCACACTGATCGAGTGAGGTTCTCTCATTATTTGGATCCTAAGAGGATCCAGGATATTATCTGCCGAGGCGCTGATTTATATGACATGCTCCCAGAGGAATACACATTCAAGGAAATCATTGGGCGAATGGGACCTATCCCCCATTCTTATTCAGGAGTTTATCTTCCTTCATATTTGTTAGACAATGCAGATAAGTACAAGTATCTTTTGCCTGGCAATTGCAGAAGAGAAGACAGATGAGCACATTCAGAAGTGAGACTTCCTAGCTCATCCTTCTAAGGAGGAGCAACGGGGCAAATTTTGTTGCAGATTGTGATAGAAATGACAGAGGGATTGACTGTGTGGGTGGGTACACAGCTGAGATTCTAGTTTAAAAAGAATTGTGTTATGGACTCTTGGAGAGATTAGCTGGTTTCGGAGTAGAGATGTCTACATTGTGTCACCAAGGTCACACAGAAGAAATATAGAAAACCATGAAACTTTCATTATTTTCTTCTGGTTCGGTGTGGCAAGAGGAGTCCATGATCTTAAAATGTTTTGGAGTTGAATCTCAGTGCTGAATAGGATTTTCCATTTTTTCCCAGTTTGAGACTAATTGATACGTATATATGTGTTTCTTTTTTCTTTACCCACCGTGTTTTCTTTTTTTTTTTGGAGAAAGTTTTTGACTCAATACTGTCTCATCTGAATCAAGTGATCATCTTAATAGACTCAGGTGGACTCACTCAATTCTTTGTAAGAGTCTTAATCATCATTCTCAAGTGGCAGCGCTCAGGATTTTCCATGGAAAATTGCTGACAGCGGCGTTCTGCAAGACTCGGGATTGATTTTGTGCATATTTGATTGATTACATGATACAGAAGTCATTTCGGACCTGAATTCCACCAAACGAATATACTTGTACATAGGATAGAATGTAAGAGAAAAATGTGGGTTGAGGAGTCAATTCGAGTGCTTTGCTTTATCCTCTACCTGTTTGTTTAGGACTTTGTAAGGACACCACCACAACATTTTTACTCAATTTTTGTGGTTTGATCCGATTAGATAATATCAGCAATATCATGGTCTTGGAAATGTCTATTTTCTGATTCCACACTATTCTTTTTTTTTTTTTCCCCCAAAAAGAACATCTCAAAAAATGCCCCACCATTCAGTTTGAGGTTGGGTGCATCATAATGATGTGAACCACACCAGAGAGTCAGCAGCATCCCCCCGCACTAAGGTTTGGTCTATCAAATCAAATCGATTGAAATGGCCAAAATGGGTGGTTGTCCAAGTCAAGGTCTTGCAACTTTGATCTTCTTATTATTATTGCTGTGTTTCGCTTTCTGGGCGGCCAATTTGATGAGGCAAAAAAACTCGATTGGACCATTAAAAAACTTGTATCTTATGCGGGGCTTTGGTCTTCGTCTTTTCTGCCATGGAAAAAATCGCTTGTCAAGCAAAAAAGTGGAGCATCTTTTTGTGAGAAAATTCTTTAATTTTTTACACGAATGTGAAACACGTATGGATAAAATATTTCCGTTTGTCTTCCTTCCAAGTTCCACCATCTGTATTACTCCCTATGTCCCAAAATTATTATCCAGTTTGAGATTTCACTTCTAATACAATATGAACTAAAATTAAAATTCCAAACTGGACAATAAATATGAGACGGAGAAATATATAACTTCCCAATTGGTGTACTACATTCGGGCCATACGTCGCGCAGATGATCTCAAATGAATCTCAGCATTCCAGAAATGCAGTATTGTTTCCAGGAAATTGTCTCCCTTTTACAGGGGAGAATCCGAACGCAATAAACAATCAAACACAGACCCCTTTTTTTTTCTTCCTTTTTTCTTGTGGACGGAGGGATGATTTGGGTATTAATTTATCGAACGTGCGTCATGTGAATATCTTAGTCTGCCTGATAAACGTTTGCTAAAAGCTTAAAGATATGATTATTATTAGGTGACATTATCTTTCGACGTTGTTATTAACCCTGTTGTCTGATTATCAGTGACATAAACATGTTCGTTTTTCCAGACGGAGTTTTCTCTTTTTCTCAACTACGCAGTTAGCTTCGCAACGGCTAGCTCCCCCAAAATCTCAAACTTTATGACCACCTTTTACCGATAATCTGGGCTTTCAAACTTCAAATACTAATCAACTTTTCCAGTAGGACTTACCGCAAAACAACAAAGCTCGAGTTTTTATCTTCTTCTTCTTAAAAACACCAAAAAAAGACCATCACTTTACAACCTTTTTCTCACCTAGGTGGCTACTGGCAGATCAAACACCTAATTTCCCGTAAATTTTCAAATAGTTTCCTGCCAAACACCATCAATTAAAGCTTATAGATACACGCACAAATACCAAAGTCAATCTCTGAGTCATATCGGAACTCTCATCAATTAACTAAGTAGTACTCCCTCCATTCCAAAATAAGTGTCATTCTAAAATTTGCACATAGTTTAAGAAAACATTAAATAAAGTAACTAAATTACTAGAATATCCTCAACCAACCCCATTAAAATAAATGTTCTCCAATAATATTATTTCTTTTGAGGGTATGTTTGGAAATTTTTGACAAAAAATGCATTGAAATTCGAAAACGATACTTATTTTGGAATTTTTACATTTTACCAAAACGACACTTATTTTGAAATGGAGGGAGTACACTTTTCCACACGCTAAAAATTCAAAAGCATTAATCCCTTTAAGTTTTCAACAGTTCAAGGGAAACTGCGTTTGACCACTGCCTGAGTGCTGACTCTGTCAATTGACAATGGAAGTGGATAGCTTTGACGAATGAATCAATCGCTGCCTTTTTTACTCATCTCTGAGCTCACTAGCAGCTTTAACTTCCCTAGCTTTCTTATCAGAATTGCATGTTTGCACCAAACAAAGGCTCTGGTTTCTTTTGTTTGAGAAACATATACGACAGCATTAATTCTTTAGTTAACCTACTCGTTGGACAGATAATTATACAAAAAAATTGATTTCAAGATTGACCAGACTTTTACACATTCTGAAATGCCCAAAAGTGTAAAGAGCATATTCAAAGGATGAATGCACTGCCGTGTCTACCAATCTATATGATTAATACTCACTCTGACTCAAAATGATTGTTATGTCATTTCCACTTTTAGAGTAATTTGTATTAAAAATAAAAATCGACATGGACGAAGTATAAACTTACAAAATCCAAGGCAGTGTCAATCAGCAAACTAGTATTTTTTTTATTTTTTATTTTTTTGCAAGGCATAAAGGATACTGTATTTAGCATGCCAGAAAGGGCAGAGCAGCAGTCGAAAATTGGGGAAGGAAAAGATTGTCCTTCGTCATTGAGATGGTACATGACAGGGATAACTAAAGAAAACCTCAGCCAGAGGCCTAACTTCTCATCTCGTTGAGTTCTTTGGGACTGGAACGTCCAAACAACTTGTAAAAGTTGATAGCAACGGTATTCATCTTCTGTACAGACTTCATTTTGGAAATGATTTTTGCTGTTAACCCAATGTGCAGAGGCAGGCAAATTTAATCGAAAGAGATAAAGATAACGATGCTAATTAACCTGCCTAAAAATGAGCAAACTGTTCTTGTAGATGAGATATCCTCGTGCAAATGCGATTTACCCATTTCAATGATGAGATAACCCTCTACATTGTTCTCAGCCAGTCCCTGAACATTTTGACCAACAACTTAATTTGCCAATACAGAGACACCTACACTTTCATCCATTCTAACCCTCTGTATCAGCATACTTTTCTTTCCCAATGTCAAATGATCTTACAAACAATAAGACATCACTGCAATATAACTAATCACTGTCCCAAGTTTCATCCAAATCTCTAGGGTTATTCAACTTTCCTCCATTTCCACCCACCTTACGGCTTCCTTTCACTACCTCAGGTTTTTCCTCCTCGTTCCTGTCATGATGGTAGCTATCCTCACTACAATTATTCCTGTAATCATAATCACGCAGTCTAGCTGGTTCTACATCATTCTCCTCTTCCACATCATCTGACTCATACATGACATCTTCCAGATCACTCAACATATCTTCTGAAAAGGAATCTTCATTGGTCCCTTTTAAATTTAATCTAGAGGGCTTATTGCTTTTGAAGCTGACACTCCTACTGGTTTTCACAGGGTTATCCCGTTTCAATCTAGATGCATTATGCACCAAAGGTCTTCCACGAACCGTACTGAACTTGAACTCATCAACATCAGTCTCATGCTCACTTGCACCATTATCATTGGAATCCCAAACTTCATTATCCTCAGTACCATCCCCATCTTCATCTTCAGAAGCATTCATCCTATGTCTTCTGTGTTTTGCATTATTCCATTTCCTTGACCTTCTGCTGATGTTATCATCAGATTCTTCATCTTCATCCCCAATCTGTTCAGATCTTCTGAATCTATCACCTAACTGTTCCCGGTTCCAGTACCTGAGTCTTCCAAACTCTTCTTTCTCTGCTGCTTCCTCTGCAGCCCATTCCTTATCTGCTGCATCTTCTATCTCAGCAATAAATTTGTCGAGGTCCTCCTGGTCACTGTCTTCAGCAGGATTTGTTTGTTCTAGCCCAGTACTTGATTCAAGCTCGGCCTCTTTGTCCTTCCGGGGGGCATAAGGGCTACCTTCTCTCTGGTCAATTGCATTGAAGAAAATAGAAGCTGTTTTTCGAATGCTAGCCATTGCCACAGGATCATCAGGACTTATTCCCATCCTACGGAGCTCCTGCTCTTTTTTCTTTATATTTAATTTCTGAGATTCAAGTGCTTGCTCAAATCGAGCTTTGAATAACGCCTGCAATGCAGCATTCAACAAGTTAAAAACTCTAACCAACCCATTCACTAATTTTTCTCAAAAACCAAATCCATTTGGACAAGCTACAGTAAGTGTTTTCCTTTAAATGATAAATTAATTTCCAAGGACATGCTTTTTTTGCTACAAAATGGAAGGCCTACTGCCTACTTAGATAACAACATTGCGTGGGTATGAAACCCCAATTTCATCATGGCGCAGCCAGTTTACGACAGGAGCGAGGTTCCAAGGACATTTCTTGCATGACTCAAGATAGTAACCAACAAATAGGTACAAGTAGTGCAAATGTACAGTAGGAAATTTGGAACGTATAAACCTCCCAACTAGGACATCATTTTTGGGCCAACAAGAATAAATGGAACAGAAGATTATGCAACTTACCTTCCGTTTTGTGAGAGTATTGATCGGTATCAAATTCTTTGGCTGTCGATAATTTCTGCCACGAAACATTATGATGGTTTTCACATCATGTATATTGACCACTATACCACCACTCAATCTTGCCAGCATGCTTGCCATTTCCCTGATTTTTTCCTTGGGGAAGTTATCACAACAAACTTGTACTGTTTCATGGAACTTCCAATGGAGGTGCATATTTTGTACAACTCCTCCAAAGACCCCACGAACACCAACAGGGACATAATTTCTATTTTTGTAGCCAATCTTCTTATAAGCCTGCAGTTGCTCAGGAGTTAGCAGCTCAGGGTCATGCTTTGGAGATGGTAGCTCAGGAAGCTCGTATTTTTTTAGCTTCTGTAGAAGTAATGCGACTTTTTTCTTGGCCTGTGCTAGTCCAAAGCAGATAGAAAACAAATTAACTAACATCCTTTCTAGAAGAGAAAGAATAATTAAAAGAGAAAATCAGCCTATAGATCAAAATCTGCTGTTTGGGAATGATAAATGCTAAGCCAGCTAATCATCACCAAAGTGGCAACACGCGACCAGGAAATTGCTGAAAAATGACATGCACATTTTCAGAAGGAAAATAAGAAAGTAAATAGCACCAAAAGAAAGGACAGAGTTCCAAAGCAATTTCATCAATGAATAAGATCTGTTAGGTCTTCAGGAAGTAAAAAATTGATGTATTTATCCTCTATACTCTTATCCAAGTTTTATTCAATGTCAACTTCATATCTAATACATTATAGTGATTCCTTTGCATCCTCTTATCTTCCAGTTGAATCAAAACCCTATTCTTAAGCTCAAATGACCAGCACACAGATATATGAAATGTCAATATATTCAACTTTAATCAAAAGCATAAAAATCCACAAACACAATACAAGGCCCGCAACAAGAAACAACCAAGGCAAACGGGAAAAGCAATCATCTTTTTACTAATGCAGTGCCTCCGAGAAGCAGAAAATCAGAATTCATCGGCGCCTTTCGAACCTTTTCTCATTAGATTGGGTAACCTGTTAGGTCAAAGCCACATTTCATATAGAAATTCAGGTTCCTAGGATGTCGTACGAGTCATTCATATAGTCCCAAGGGGGGGCTCCCCGACTCAAGGTACTGGGAAACAGGACCACAATTCCTACTCACTGAGTGTAAACGACTCTCTTCGGATTGATGTGTAGATAAGTAAGTTAAGAACTAAACCGAAGTTTGAATATACATATGCAAAATTAGACTAGTCGAGTCACAACATAGCAGAATTAACGTACTCTTCTAAGATCGTAGACGAGGCGTTCCTCGGTAGTCATCAGCGTCTTTTTCAATTTCTTGGCCCTCCTAGTTTCTCTCAAAGTTTTGCCGGATTCGTGCCTCATCCGGTGCTCCACTCTGCTCCTCATACTCTTGCCTGAGAATCCACGAACCCCGTTTAACCCATTCCACCTCTCCGATGACGCAAATACTAAATCTTTCCCCGAAATGCTGTCTTCAACAACAACGCCGGCCGCCCCCAATTTCGGCCAAGCATTTCTAACAACCATAGCATTCCTGGGGTGAAAAAATTAGAAAAAGAAAAAAGTTAATTCAATAATTAAGAAACGGATTAAATTTCAGTCGGTATTCTGGTATAAACTGATTAGGCAGGGAGCTAGGGGAAACTAAATAAGAAACAGAAATGTAACAATTACTTGGTGGAGGGATTGAGGAGACAGAGAGAAGAGAGGGCCTTGAGGGATTGTCTTCGAAGGCTTCTCGCGGCGAACATCGTCATTATTTGGATCTGTAAAGAGGGAAATAGAAGACGACGCAACCAACAGATTCCATTTCATGGGAAGCAGTCCGCCATTGATGCTTTTGGGGTTTTTCAGGGTTTTAGACTTTTTTAGTTAGTTCTCCCACTACTTTGTTTATTGTCACTTCAACTAAACTGCGTCGTATTGGAAAGCTCAAACGCATAAGCTTAATATTAGTGAGTTACAATTTCATTAGCAAAAATTAACATAAAACTTTCAATTAAAATATGATTTTATTAGCAAAAATAAAGATTAAAATCTGGAAGAGTCTGTATTATATCCTCTCTCTTTTTTTTTGTTTTTTTTGTTACATGTATTTTATCCTTTGTTCCCAGCGGTTGTGGGAGAAAAAAGTTAGATACAACATGCGTATTTTTATCACTAACACCAACACAAAAATATTCAAATTACGAATAATACGACAAATATAATATAATTTTCTTAAAGAAAAAAGAAAACCTGGAATGATTTGATTTATACAATTAACAAGATTGGTGAATATGAAATAAACATTACTGGTCGAACATGAGTTGTCAAAATATTAAAAGCAAACAACTCCACTCTCAATGGAGATTCTGAAAAAATGTCTCGAAGTTAATACACAGTTACATATACATACATTTCTTGTCACATAAGCTGCGTCGCAAATTTAATACTACCTGCCAACAAGAACACAGGCCTTACGCCGTATACCCAAAATTGGAGTCTTTGAAGTTTTGTTATAACCCCCCTACCACCGCCTTACTTGTAAGGCAACTATGGTGGTGAAAGTGAAGCCTCCGTTGTGCGTCAGGTCTGTGCTCTGTTGAAGGGGTTTAAAATACATTAGCCATATAAGATTAAAAACTGTCTACACCAAATGGTTATTCCTGATACTGTGACTTGTAAATGCAAAGGCTTCAGAAGATAGCAATGGAAAGGAGGCTTGACAAGTTCTCGCTCTCCTCATCTTTCTACAATCGGTGAAACCAATCATGAATACTGTCCTGCGAACAGAAATACAGGTCCTGCATGCATGGAACCACACAATGACAATCATCAGTTATTGAAGTCATTTCTGAGACACAGGTACAAAGGCTTCTCTAATAGGCAAATAATAATAGGATAACAGGAAGAGGAAAATGGGCTTACAGCTAGCTGATAATCTGGCTGAGTATCTATTTCTAAGTTTTCAAGTTCTGTTAGTCCGGAGGATGGAATTTCAACTCCTTGTGCAGCGTTATTTGGATTGCCGGTTAAAGGCTCGCCACTGTGTCCAAGATCACTCGAAACTGTTGAGGAATCCATGATCTCATTGCAAAAAAGCAATTCCTCCAAGTCAGTTGCCTGTGATTCTCCAGCCAACCAGGCATAATCGATATCATCTTTTAGTTGAGCATCTGATGAACCAACATTTAATGCCTCATTGTCGACCTTCACCACCTGATCAATGATATCAATGTGAGGAACTGAAATGAGGAGACATATTAAGTGTCCCGTTGTATCTTTCCAGGTATAAATTTGTAACCACTTGGTCAGGTAAAATGTATATGCATTAGAAGAAGTAATAAAATACCTGAACAGGAGAGTCAATCAGTTTATCATCTGCAACATCATCAGGAGTTGCACCAAGGCGAGGAGGTTCGGGAGTAAACATTTTCGGAGTCCTAGGACTGCTTCGAGAAGCTTCATATTCTTCAACGTTTACAGAAGCTTCACACCCATCATTTGGCTTATGCTGCTGATAAAATATTTTGGAAACCACATATACTCCCTCTTTCTCTTCTTCATCAGTACCAAGATGATATTGATGCATGACCCAGTTAGACTTATCAGGCTTGGATCCCCTTGTAGAAGTTTTGTAGAGAACCATGATCTTCTTGCACCCTTTCTGGATACCATTTTCCTTCACAATTTTGGTTCTACCCGTCTTATGCCAGCGGACTTGCTCCATAGTCGACCCACTTTCAGTCTGGATCTTTCTGCGCTTCCTCTGGCCGGTTGAATACGCATTCTTAGTTCGGTAAAAGAAGTAGACACTACTCCCGTCTTTCTTGGCACCTGAAAAGCAAGATGATAATTTACACAATTAACCGCTCATGCTTCACACAACTCAAAAATAGATCAATACAGCTCCATAACATGGCACTTTAGTGATTAATTATGATGTGGAATAGACAGAGACAATCCTGTCTTGATTGCTTCTTGGGGGTGGCTTGGGGAAACGAACATTAGCAGCCAGGACGTCATGCCTTCTTCAAAATGTAAGAGATGAAATGAAAGGGACATCATGCCTTTTTCATAACCGCATTTAGGGGTCTAACAAATGTCAAAAATCATGGGAATCATCATGAAATTGAATTCAACATACAAGATTATAGAAATCTATGGTGCTCTAGAGATTAAATTCTATGGTGCAATTCATAAGTCATAATAATTTAAATAAATAACCAGAGAACAACTGATATCTAACATACGATTTCTCTCACCTGGAAGCTTTTCTGGATGTGCATAGTATATCCCTTCTTCATGATCAAGTGTTGGAATAAAAATGTCAATTAGTTTCTGGGGCTTCATACCACCCACTCCACATTTTGCTGACAAATGATCTATGAGCTCTGAATCGGAAGGCTCAAATTTTACACCAACAGGAAACCCAGGCCATTCATAAGATATCTGAGAGGGGAACGGCAAATTAGATAAAATGAACCAAATAAAAAAATGAGATGAGAACATAACATGAAGTGGCCAACTCGAAAGAACCAAAGACAATCAAATTTCTCTTAGTTACAAGTAGAAGGATAATTAAACTTTTGTCTATGAAGATTTCTCAAGAAAGAAAATAAGCCAGCTGATTGTGAAAAAGAAAGTTGAGTGATAATATTACAGCTTTGATCAAGAAGCCATTAGTTAATGCATTAACAAAACTCAGCTTACATCACTGTTATCAATGACATAGTGACAATTTGTACATTCACGCTTAGCTCCACAATCCTTGATCTGACAGGCAGCCGGTAGAGTGGCATTTTTCACTTTGTTTGCAATTCCTCTACTATCAACAAGCCAAGACCTACATCAAATCAGTTTGAATCAAAATAAGCTTTACAACTCATATGCTCAAAGAATACAAGAGGGGAGCAATAGTTTAGAAGCAGTAAGAACAGGGAATTCCACAAACTGTAACATAGAAATAGAAGCAGTTATTCTCTTAAGATAGAATTCTATGAGCAGGACACCTCTTTGAGTCTCAGAACAATAAAATCAGTACATATGCAGGAGCGAAACAAATTCGATTGATTAATAACTAATAAGACTATTACAAACTTTAAGAAGCACACAGAACACCACATAGACCAGACAATTCAGTTGATGGTCAAAGGCATTATACAAATTTTAAGAAGGCTGTTGAATGCTTCCCGCTCATGAAATTCAATCAGAGAAATCAAACAGAAAGCTTGTGAGCTAAGATTGGATCATATTTCAAGCATAATGTCAAAATAAGCTGGAGGGGGAGATCCCCATTTCTATTCTTATACGGGAATACCCAAAACACCCGCATTTCCATTTCACACAATGCAGCTCAATCCGAGAAACAATATGGGTTTCTACTTTTGGGGCAACATTTGAGCTGCCAAATCCACCAACACTACCAAAGTCCACAGCCAGATTTTCCTAACCCATGAAAAAAGCATATGAATAAACTATGATCTCCGCTAAGCACTTCAAAGGGTTTCCCACCCAACAAAATCAAACAGAGAGTACAAATTAATTTACATCTCACAGCAAGAAAGCTCCAAAACCCAACTCGTCCCTCAAACTCTCTCCCTCCAAAGCAGACCCGGAAAATTACACGGTAATGCCAAAGAAAAGTAGGAGAAATTTCCTACCCATTTTTTTAATAAACATTTCCTCGAACATCTTTCCTCCGATTAAAATCAACCCAGATGATGGCATAATGTTAGGAACAGAAAAATAAAGTAATTTTTTTTTTACAAAAAAAAAAAATCGAATGTAATTTCTGGTGAAGTTTCTGTTGATTGGGAACAATATCTATATACCTTGCCATGGGTTTAGCCTAAATTAAGCAGATAAATTTCATCCAATAAGAGAAGCAATCGGCGATGGATCGGTGTCTGGAGAATCTGATAACTTAAGAGCAGAGAACTGAGGGAATGAAATGCCTCTTTTCTTGGGGGTTTTATTTGAAGCAAGGCTCACCTCCCTCCAGACCAGACCTTCGGTCTTCACCACTGGGCTAAGTAAACGAAGGAGAGAGAGAGACATGGGTCTGAGAGTGAGAGAGCGGGAAAATGAGTATAGTTGGGATTGTGGCTCGAGCACTGACCAAGCCTTCAGCTTTGGGTGAAACTATACATACCTCTGCCGAGGCAACAAACGTGAGATTCGGAAAGGCCTGACCGTTGACCAAACCAGTTTACGAGCCTCAGGTTCGGACAATGTTAACTATCTGTAACTGTGGAGGTGGCCTCGGAACACCAGTAAACAGTAAATCGGTGGGACCTCTTAGTCTTGGCCTCCAAGTCATATTAGGACACTAATTCTCGTTTTTATGTTTTTTTTCCAATTTAACTGTCTTCTATGTTGGAATTTTTTGGGCTATGTTTGTGTTCTCGTAAGAAGCAGAAAAGAAAAAAAAAAAACAGAAAGTATCTGTCACGTAATGAAAAAATAAAAATCCAACGATATCAAATAATAACATCTCCAAAAATATTATTCCTTTCGTCCCATAATTATTGTCCAGTTTAAGTTTTTATTTTTAATTTCATAATTATTGTCCAGTTTAAGTTTTTATTTTTAATTCAAATTATAATATAAATAAAGTTTCAAATTAGACAATAATTTTAGGATAGAGAGAATAATAAAAAACTCCAGTGCATCTTTTTTTCTTTCCCGCTCGGAACAACAAAATTTCCACTTAAACATTCGCTTTCACACAGACGAATTTTTCAATATATAAAGGGAGAAGAAGAGGAAACTTCTCAAATGTTCTCGTATTGTTTTGGATGTTTTAGGTATAATAGTTCATAGTCGAATTTTTTTCAACAAGTCGTTGTAGTATAGTGGTAAGTATTCCCGCCTGTCACGCGGGTGACCCGGGTTCGATCCCCGGCAACGGCGAAATTCTCTTTTTACACTTTTTTAGAGTCGTCTTCTCAGTTGCAATCTCCAAATTGCAGTATTGCTTGGGCTAATGCTTTGATTTAAGCTTCTAACTCCCAGAATGAGCATTACTTTTTCCAACAATGTAATCATCCTACTTTTCCAAAGTTCCTGCCCAACCTCCCTCCATGCGGCTGCCATCGCCAACAATACATCCATCCCTTTTCTGCAAATTCTATTTCCATCAATATTTACTGTAGTATTTTCCTATTTATATATATTTTCCCTCCCACCTTTGTTGTGCCTCCTAAGTAAATATATTAGTCTTTAGTTTTTGGTGAACTATTACTCCTCTCTGGTAAAAAATAAATGGCGTAATTGACTTTTATATATAGTTTCCCTCTTAGCTTTGTTGTGCCTCCTTAGCAAATATATTGGTCTTTAGTTTTTGGTGAATTATTACTCCCTATGTTCAAAAATATTTGGCGTAATTGACTAAGACCTAAGTCATGATCTCATGATCCGATCCTAAGAGCTTGGCATTCATATTAATATTCTAAGACGACAGGCTTCTTCCATCTAGCATTAATACTCAACATATCTTGTTAGTTGATAATCTTTGATACTCCCGGCGGAAGAAAAAACATTTTTTTTTTTACTTTTTATCTAGTTAACTTGATTTGACCTCCGTTTCAGTGAAAACTTACTTTAGTTACAACTTTAGATAATCTCAGAATGTTCCTAATTATCTTTTCCGCTGTCATGGTTATAAGCTGTGGAAAAATGCAATTAAAGTTTAGTGATGATCCAAAATGAGCATGCGCATATGAGATTGCCGCAACATTTTTATAATACATATACTTCTATCATCCTTATCTCCAATTTGAAATGAATTTGGGTATGAAAGTACTTAAATGGTTGATTTTTATTTTTTTTCGGTGTTAAGTGTTAACATATTCCACCGTCGACTAATAAAATCTATCTTTGTTGATTACAATCAAACAATAAAAACCCTTAAAATCTATTTATTTTTATCAACAAACCGTCTTTCCAACAGAGCCATATACAGTATTCCACTTATTCTTATGTCTAATAAATATATGCATCATAATTTGCGAATTGTATTAAGATAGGTAATTATAAATTATAATGCAGGTGAACTGTTTTTATAGAATGACGGAGCATAAAATTGTGTTATGACCAGTGCCGTACACTGCCCTATTGTGTGATGAGTTTCTTTGAGCTTCTTAATTAGCACGTACGCTCCGTAGAAATATCTCCGATGATTTATAGTAGGTGTGCCTTACTTGTCAGATTGAAAAGATTACAAGTTGGATAAAATGTAAGTTATAATTTGTAAGGTTTTGGATACCATATTCTTAATTTATCCATCTTGACTTGGAAAAATATTTGCAAGTAGGCTTAACTTATACTGTACTTCATTTGCCTGGTCAAACTGCTTTTAACATTTTTTTCCTGATGAAAATAATTAGCTAAGATTAATGCTTTATAGTCATTACATTACAATTTACAAGGGTATGTAGCCTTACTAATCTCATGACTTCACTCTCAGGAGAACACACACATCCAACTGTTCGCTATACCAATCTCCATGGATGGTACCACTAAGATCATCTACACAGTAGATTTCCCTGCAAATATGTTTCACCACCCATGCTCAAAATCTCCATCTAAGCACGGATATAAAAGATAGGTATGATTTGTAAGCTTTTGGATGTATATCATATCCTTAATCTATCGATCTTATTGAGTAGAAGGTTTCAGCAAGTAAGCTTAACTTAAATTGTACTTCATTCGCCCGGTCAAAATATTGGATTAATAGCAATTTCTCTTTGTTGATAAAAATAGAGCAAAAGTATAATAGTACTCCTTCTATCCCAGAAATTATTGTTTTCAGTTTTTAGTTTTATTTTTAGTACGAATTGAACTAAAATTGAAAAGTCAGACTGGATATTAATTATGGATCAAAAAGAATATATTACATGGTTATTATATCGCGGGATAAGTTGCCCGTATACCAATCTATAGTAGTACATCCAGAAGGGACTATGAAATCAAACTGTTCTATACCAATACATAGAAACGATGCCAATGATCAAAAGGCCAAAAACCAAAAAAATCATAAGGTTACAATTGTTTGAAGCGAGTCCATGCATGCATGCATGCTCATACATAGCGTACAAAGATCAATTCAGGGTAATAAATGCACAACTTTGAAATATCAGCACGAGATATATATACATACAAAAAACAGGTGTATCTTATCCAATAAACTTTATTAGGGACGTGTCAAAATTGGAGGTTCTAGGTTGAAAGATGTTTTCAACACTAACTGGCGAAAAGTCTTTGCCAAAATCTATCCATCAGTACGAAATACTAGTGAGAATGGCCAACTCAATGATCGGGACACTAGTAATTAAAGCCACACGAAAACACATATGAGAAATTAATGCGCCACTACCCACTACTATATTCTACATTATCTATCTATCCCTAACCTAAAGCTACTACCCCCAACATTTCACTATAAATAGAGCTCCGATGAAAGCCTTTTGATCACACACCAACTGGGAAAAAAAGAAAAAAACATAGTTCATCAAAGCCAACTCTGTCAGAGAGAGCAAAAAAAAAAAAAAAAAAGAAAAGATGAATTCCAAAACACTTGTTTTCGTTGCACTTTGTGCCTTGCTTCTCGTTGTTACTTCAACTATCGCAGCCGAGACGAAAGTTGAAGAACCACAAAAGGGTTAGCGTGCATTAATCATTCTTGATTCTTTCAACGGCAATGTTCAATGAGATTGATTATCCCTTTCTTGTAGTAATTCTGTCACAGAAAAATAATCTATTTTTTTTTAAACTGTGTAGGTCACAACAAAGTGAATTAATTTTTTTGCAACAGAAGGGACCATTTGTTAATAATATATCTTGTTGTTGATGTTGTTTAAATTTAATGCAGAGGACAACGTGAAGGAGGTTGATGGGTATGGAAGAGGAGGTTGTAGGTATGGCTGCTGCGGATGGTACCATGGACACTGTGGAAAGTGCTGCAAAACAGGTATACTTTAACTAGTACTGAAACAGTTCACTTTGTTGAACGGAACGTAATCAGTTCCTTGAACTTTTGAGGGACTAAATAATTAGTTGGTGATTTACGTAAAAACACCTGAATTAATGTGCAGCTGAAGAAGCAAAAGCAGCAGAAATGAACAGCTTCGGCACCGACGGATACGGTGGCCGATACGGCGGTGGATACCGTGGCGGGCATTGCAAATATGGTTGCTGTGGAGGTCACGGCCGGTACTGCAGGTGCTGCTACACCCCTGAAGAAGCTCAAGCCGTACAGTTTGGAAACTAAACCCCCCGATCGAACCATATGCACCCATCCAAGAATAATGGTTATGTACGCACGTAATTAGTAGTAGTAGTTGTTGTTGTAATCAAGTACATCGAATTTTTCCTTGGTGTGGAAAGATTTGGTGTACTTATGCATGGGTGGTTTGTTGCTGATTTCCGCGTACTATCTTGACATGTCCTGTATTGTACATGGCATGTTATAAATAAAAATATTTGGCAGTCATCATTTGATGACTTGCTTGGTGTGTGTTACAGTATTTCACTATGTTCTTTTGCCCTCAATTTCAATTTCTTTGTTGATTGATGATCTTAAGTCTTAGCCCTTGACTGGAACTCGGCAATGATTAGGATAAACTTGAACAAAATTGATACTATACATCTACACAATGAAATAATAACAACAAACAGAGATGAACAATGTCTTCATTTGGCACGTCAAGTGACAAAATAGAATTAATTTCTATATCTTGAAAAAATACTAGTCATGATTGTAAAGTTCGTGTTAATTTCATGTAATATATAGTTTTCTAATTTGTCTTGAACGGGTTAATTTTCTAATTAAAAGAAAATATGTGGTTCCAACTTAAAAGTATGAATTGAAAAAGAAGAAAATAAAAAAGAAAATTGAGGTAACAGTAACTCTTTTGATGCAACATATGCATATATTGTGCTTTTTAATCCCCCCAATAAATGTAATTTCGTCTTTTCGTTTTTTTTTAAAAAAAATAAAAATTTATAGTTACATGGTGTTTATGGAAATTCCGTAACCCATGTACTGGCTAGTTATGAAAAGCCCATAAACAATTAAATATATATATATATATAAATAGAAGTCCCACCGTTTTATAAATAAAAATTTATAGTTACATGGTCTTGACCATACGCATAAGGTCATGTGGGCTGGCTACTTCAATCAATGGACTTCACCGTTTTGACCCTTGATTCGGCGGTTGGGCAACAAGACACGGTCGTTTCGCCTCAATTTCATTTCATCCCCATACATGAAATAATTAATTATAGTGATGTGGAATAATATGTGGGAAAAGATAGGATTTGGCCCCTTGTTGTTTGTTTGTCTGAGTAAATCCTTTGTCTGAATCAAACATTTGGCTTTTGTTTACATAAATTATACATGGAAGCTCTATCTCCTTCTTCTCTTTTAATTAAAATACGATGATTTGAGATTGGTTCCAATCCCGAGTTCGATCGGAACACTCAACAATAAGTGCATTGGGTGGAAAAGTACCGCTATGATGAATTGTTTTAGGGAAAAGAGGCCACATGATGCACAATAAGTTGTGAATTCAGATGAGCTTGAGAGTTGGGTGAAACTTTTCCATGCATCTCGATTATTGATATTTTAATTAAGGATGGATAGAGATTTTGATCCTGTAGTGGGTGACAAAGCATAGCTCCGGATGAATGGTATCGGCCAGGGTGGTGGTTTGGATTTCGGCTGGTTTCCTTGCTCGTCTGTTTGCTGGTTCTACCGGCTAAGATAAGCATCGCCGTGCCCCAACCCCACGGCAAATTGTTCGGCTGGTTTCCTTGCTCGTCTGTTTGCTGGTTCTACCGGCTAAGATAAGCACTGCCGGCCCCAACCCCACGGCAAATTGGTATCGAGCGGTTATGTATTTTTATGTTTACAAAAGATTTGTTTGATTCGAACCTAATTTAAAATGAATAATTTAGAAAGTACTTGATAAAAATTCATTCAAGAGGAATATGATATGCCTCAACAACTTGCTCTTCTTAATAAGTGGTCAATACCAAAGGTACCCACTAATACTTTGTATGAATATGGTATGTTTGATCGATACTTGGTTAAACAGGTAGTTAAAACTACTGAGCAATCAATTGCTTTAAATTCTGATGAAAGGGTTTTACAACTTTTGTCTGCTACAGATATTGAATCTTATAGATCTCATAAAAATTATAAGTTCATGCATATTGGATTGGTGCAAATTGCATTTAAACCTTTAACTTTAGAAGGTTTACTGAATCTTTATTGCTTGCCTTACGTGATGGTAGAAATTTACATTGGAAAAAATCCTAATGGGCATAATACATCAAGCCTAGCTCATGGTCCAGTTTATTTTAATGTTTACCCAAATTTACACTATCATTGTCGATGTTAATATACTCGATGCTTTAACCTTAAATGTGAAATTACATGGTTACAATTATTTACCGGAAGTGAACTTATTTGTTTACATTACCGTATTTGTTTTAAATTATTAAATACCTTAACACCCGGATGTAAGATTATAAGTAAACCATCTGATGAAACCGTACTAATAGAAACTAATTTTTATAAATCTCAAATTAGTACCCGTAAAACTATAAAATGGGAAGAAATTGAATTTCCAGAGTCTTGGCAAATTAATAAAGGAATTAAAGGAAACTCATTAACTCATAATATTACAAGTTGTAATGTTACCGAAATTGAGCAATCTGATAATGGTCAAATAAGTATTACTTTTGATAAACCAAAACTTCCTAAATTACTAAGATCCAGCTCTCTAAGATCTTTTAAATCTTATATAGATCCAGTCGATTCTCATATGAATTTGATATTGATTCATGAGTAATATTTTACTCTACAAATTTAATTTTATTAATAATTCTACTTACATGACAATCCAATTGGCATATCCAAATCAATCTCATTAATTTATAAATAATTTAATTAAAGCAAAAAAACATTGTTATGTCCATTCTTTTTCTCTTTTTTTTTGTCACGATTGAGTCCACGACGAACAACACCCTACTTATCAAATCCTTGATTCATCTTTCTCACTTTTAGCCTTAATAATTTGAGCTTCTAGTTTTTCGCATCGACTGACAACCTTAATACTAAAGAACCAGCATCAATTAATTTTAGGCCATTTTTCAGGATCTAAAGAAGACCAATAATAGAAAGGGTTTTCAGAGCTTGTCCGAAAACAAAAACATACAAATTCCCTTCTCTGAAATATAAACAAATTCTTTTTGCAAAAAAAATCGCATTAATATGCGATTATTGAGAGCTCGACTAACCCAATCGAAATCCCAACATGGGAGAGAGACTCTGATATCCTAGAGGAAAGAAAAGGAATTCCCATTTTCCAGCCGAAGATGGAGCTCTGGGTTTTTCTATTTAAATGTTTTTTCATAAAGAATTTGTCACAAGGGTGTTTTAGTGCTTAATTAAATCCTATTCATTCATGAGGTGATGTGGATATGCCATTTGAATTGTCATGTAAGTAGAGTTATTAGTATAGTTAAATTTGTAGAGTGGAATATCATCACTCTTGATTAATTTACCATAAAATGTAGTATTTGAGAAGCTTAATTAATTTAACATAAATGAATTTGATTAATTAATATTGAACCATAAAATGGATTTAATTCCAATTGTTCGCCGTCATATGACAACTTGAAAATTTTAGCATTAAAAAAGACGAAAATGCCAATATAACACAAAACATAAAATATTATCGTGTACACATTCTTTTACTGATTTGCAAAATTTATGCGGACCGAAGTTGACATATGGTACACATTTTTTCTGATAAGTAACCAGCTTTAATTAAAACTAGACGCAACCTAAAGAATTATTAAGAAAAATAATTAACCATTGTTTTCGTAATGGATATTGAAATTTTTGTTGCTTTCAAGTACTCATTCACATATGCTTATTGATGGATCGAAAAGGTCTCAAAATATCTTTATTTTCTTTGAAATTATAGTCGTCGACTTATCCGTCTACTTAGTTTAGTCGACGCCAAAATAGACGAAAGTCAGAGTTCATTGTTTTGTATCATTTGCGTAATTTTATTTTTTTTGGTATTATGTTTACGTAATTAATAGACTTAAGTTTTCAAATACTTTCAAATGTTATTTATTAGTTTAAAAATGTAACCTTTTACATCTCATATAAATATTCAGAACCACAAGATTATTTTTACTGAAACGATGACGAAAATGTCAATTGGTCTAAAAATAACACGTATTAATATATGCCGTCCACATAGTAGGACTGATTTGAAAGTCCCTGCGCACTGAACCTGATATAGTTTACTCGATTCTTTACTTGGTCATCGACTCTTATTATTCAACTAAAATGTAGACGCAACCCAAAAAAAAAAAATGTTCAGGAATGTAACCATTGAGTTTTATATCCCCTATTGATTTTTTTTATTTTTTTTTGGTTTGAAATATTTGTTGATAAATCAGTATCATTATAAAGGTCATTAAATGTTTATATTTTGTTGAAATCATTCATGTCGGCTTTTTCATCTTCTTAATAACATGACAAGAGAGTTGAGGGTCGAAATCTATTACTTTGTGGAATTTCTGAAAAATGGTGTTCCTTACATAAATTTATACCTATCCTAATAATAGGCCTGACTCTATCTATTGTCAGATTGATTACAATATACTTAAAGTTGGATAAAGGAGACAAGGTCATGAGGTATAAAATACTCCGGTCCTTAATATTAGGTATTTTGATTTGTTCTAAATTTAACCTAATACATATTTTTAATTGACAAAAAAACTTTAAAAATATTTCATAACAATCAAGAGAATACAACGAATGTAAAAATATATGTTTAAGATTTTTCCGTCAATTATAAATGCGTATTAGATGAAACCTAGGACAAAATCAAAATGACTTATATTAAGGACCGGAGGAAGTATAAACTATAAAGTTCGTATGTGTTTGGATCATATGTAATTTCAAACGATCCTAATTTGGAGCTGCTTAGCAAGTAGGCTTTATATTGTCGCATATTCGGAGTTATTTATACACGATTAATTTGTTTGATTTGCCCGGTCAAAACTATCGGACTAAATAGCTACCTTTTCCCCGTTTTATATAGTATGTGAGTGTGTCTGTATGTGTGCTTTACTATAGATGCAAAGGTAAAAGCTAAAAATAGGAGTTTTGACTTATTTCAAGTGAGTATATGCATGCATGTAACGCGTGCAAACATCATTTTACGTTAATTAAATGCTGACTTTGAACTTACATTGCGACTTGATTTACAGGTGTATCTTATGCAGTATATCTGTCTAGCGAGGTGTCACCATTTGCAATTCCTAATCTGATGATTTTTATTTTTCTTTTCAACATTGTGTGGCGAAAAATCTCTGCTAAAATCTTCTTCACTGTACTAGACAAATGGACACCTCATTGGTCTATCTCGATATATGAAATTAATGCACCACAACGCCAAACTACGTACGTAGATTATCCATAACCTAGCTAAACTAGCTAGCTATCCCCTTTGCTATATCACTATAAATAGTGCTCGGTTGAAAAATGTTTGATCACACCAACTGAAGAAACATATAATAGAGATTTCATCAAGACAGCTTTTGTGAAAGAAGAAACAAAAGGAAAATGAATTCCAAAACCCTTCTTTTTGTAGCACTTTGTGCCTTGCTTCTTCTTGTTACTTCAACTATCGCAGCCGAGACGAAACCTGAAGAACCAAAAAAGGGTTAGCTTACTTTTACTAAACCAAAAACACTGCTTGCTGTGCATGCATTGGTTTTAGGCATTTTTCTCATCAGATTATATATATATATATATATAGTGATAATAATTGTTAATACTAATTAATTGGTAAAAAAATTGCAGAGGTGGACGATGTAAAGGAGCCCGATGAGTATGGTGGAGGACGTGGTTGTAGGTATGGTTGCTGTGGAAGGGGCCCCTATGGACGATGCCGAAGGTGCTGCAGAACAGGTACGTACTTAGTAAAAATAATAATCATATTTGTTATTCTCTCTTCTAAAATTGTTATCCAGATTAGATTTTTAGCTATGGCACAATTTATGCAAAAAATAAAAATCCAAATTATATAATAATTTCGGGACGATTTATTGAAAAGAACAGTTCACTTTGTTGAATTATTTTAACGTATCTACGTACGTACGTACGTACGTCTACATATGCAGCTGAAGACGCGGAAGCAGCAGAAGTGAGCAGCTTTGATACCGATGGCGATGGATATGGAGGTGGTGGCGGATACCCGGGACGCGGCGGAGGCGGATATCCAGGAGGTGGATATCCAGGACGCGGCGGAGGCGGTGGATATCCGGGACGTGGCGGACACTGTAGATATGGCTGCTGTGGAGGTTACGGCCGCTACTGCAGGTGCTGCTACAACCGTGAAGAAGCTCAAGCCGTGGAGTTTGGAAATTAAATTAGAAGCTAACCGTGCATCCCTATGAATAATAATAATGATAATTAGTATCTAGTTAGCTCTAGTAATCTCATCAAATATTTCCCATGCGGGAAAGATTTGGTGTAATAAAATGCTCTCCTGGTTTTGATGCTGTAGTATGTATAATGACATGTACGTAGCCTTCCTGATCTGTACATGGCATATATGAAAAAATAAACTATTTGCGGTCATCATTTGATGATACGTTTATGAATATATATCAGTTCTTTCGTTTGTTCCTTTACCATCAATTATATGTTATTGTAACCATACTATGAAAGTGATGAAAAACAAACTATACTTAAAACAGTCTAGCAAAGGACAAATTAATTTGAAGAGACCAACAAACGTTTAACCAATTACCTACATCTTACTGAATTAAAAATGGTCATACAAATTAACCCCACGAGTGTTCTACTTTTCATGTTACTTGCGGGCTTTTAGATCTTTCTATATTGTAATATAACCAAGATTATGTTTATAAGACAAATTGGCTTCTGAAAGAATTAAAAGACAAAACTACATGTTCTTAGATGTTGAGGATTAGCCACCAAAACAAACAAATCGCTTTTTTGTTACTCATTATACTTGGAAGTTTGAAATTTATAAAACTTTGTTCTTGTAAAAAAATGAACTTTTCACCTGTATACGTGTTCTACAAACTTAAAAGTTACTCGCATAATTATCCACTTGGTTTTTTTTCTCTATAAATAAATTGTACTATAAATAAAAATTCAATCTGGATAACAATTTTAGAATAGAGACAACATAACTAAATCTAATTGTTGGGCAATCTTTGTCCCCATATAAAATTTCCACCTAGATTGTGTCGGTATAAGTTTGATATGATATAAATTCCCGAATAGTTATATCGTGAGAATGTAAGCAAATAAACAATGTAAAAAAATATTTTCCAAAAGACAGTAAAGTTCCTTTTAGAGAGCTAGCAGCTTCAATCGACTAATGAGAGTCGTTGAAATTTTGTGGAAATAAATCCCGCCAGTTGGGCAAGCTGATAGTAAATGTAAAGGGAACATAGCTAGCTGGTAGACAGTTTGGACCACTGGTTTTCTATCACTTAGCTCGGGAGCTCCAAGTGAAAATTTCCGCAGTAATTTCAGTATTTATTTTTGTGTAACAGTTATGGGAGAAGTATTTAAACCCAAAACAAATAATAAAAAATCAAAGGAGAAGTAAAGTTTGTGCCCGCTGTGCTCCAATTTTTCTTTTAAAAAAAAAGATAAATAAGAAAAGAAAAAGAAAAAAAAAGTGAGAAGTTGATGCAAAGTACTGGCCTGGCTTAGAGTTACACGGGATTGAATTAATGAATTTCATGTGGAGTCTACATGGGTTGGTTTAATTAATTAAAAGAAAATATTGGAAGGGGAAAAAAAAACCTAAATTATGAGCTAGTTCAGGTTTGTTACCTACTATTATTACTGTATAGGCATTGTACTACCATCATTGATGCAGAGTTTTGGGTATTTTTGAGGGTTTGAATTTGACAGTGTGTTATAAAGATGGTAACGAGCAATGACGAGGGAGTGGGAGTACATGATAGTTTATTCGGATACCTTTGATGAGTGGAAGTAATTTTGATGCATGAATTTTTAGAGAGCTAATTTTGTAGTAGAGTACCTGACATTTATGCAGCATTTTGTATTAAAGACTTGTTACGGTTGTATAATTTTTTAGTAGAGTTATTCCTTTTATTAGAATACGATATAGTAGGTGTCTCATGTCAAAGAATGTAGTAGTATCTTAATCCAAGCTTATGCTCCTTATTTCTGTGAATCAAAAAAAAAAAAAAAAACCCACTATTACTCTTACTGATTTTGACACCGCGGGTCTAAACTGCGGAGCCAAAATATCAGTGTTTTATCATCTCCAGCTTTATTCATGCAGCAATAAGTTGCTTAGGCCACGTACTAGAATGTTGAGACAGGCAGTTCAGTGTGGAAGGGAATCAAAATAAATGAAGGATCCAGGTGGAGGTGGCACCCCAACCGGCAAATGGGTTTGGCTTAGGTGTCATGATTCCAGCACACAAAGGTGATGATTCTTTCCACATTTAGGTGCCAAATAACCTTCACCAAAATTAAAGATACTGATCTTACAAGATATACATCGCGAGTTCTCGGACTGTTCTCAACGATCCAGACAGAGGAGTTCGTAGGTACTATTAAGCTAAAGGTATCAGAGACGCCAAAACATATCGTAAATTGAATGCGGCGCACCGCCGCCATGTTTAATTGATATTGTTATCTGTATTCTAGCACCTCTTCATTCGCTCTCCTATATATACACAGAGGTCTTATGAACACACAGTACTCTTCACGTGAAATTTGAGCAACTAGTACTATAATATCCTCATCAAAGCAAATTAAGGTTGAGAAATAAAGAAAAATGAATTCCAAAATCCTACTTTTCCTTTTCCTACTTGGCGGTGTATTTCTCGTGATTTCTTCTAGCATTGCAGCTGAAACTACACTCCAGGAACAGTCTGAGGGTGAGCATATCCTATAATCCTAATGAATAGTAGTAGTCTCAAAATCAAACGTGGTTTGTTAATTAATTGTAATTATATATGCATGATTTGAAGAGAGAATTGAATTGGGCTATTAAGTTGTAAAATACTACTATTGTTTTAATGATGTTGTTTGGATGACACATGCATATATGTATGCAGAGGATAAAGTGAAGGAGCCGGATGTGTTGGGAAGACGTTGCAGATATGGTTGCTGTGGCAGGGGACTCCTCGGAAGATGTAACCGTTGCTGCGTTTCAGGTACGTCTTTTTTACCGCAACTTTGTAATTAATTGACTGCATCATTCAAATAAACGCAGCAGGACCTGGAGTTCTCATCCATCGGCTACTGTCTCTTATGTGCAGCTGAAGAAGCAGAGGCAGCTGAAGAAGAAACTGATGTAAGCGTCGACATCAATAATCAAGGCGGCGGACAAAGCGGTGGTGGTGGTGGCCGGGGAAGCGGTGGCGGTGCCGGTGGCAGCCAGGGAGGAAGAGGAGGTGGCGGTCAGGGTGGCGGAGGCAGAAAAGGTGGCGGTGGTAAGGGTGGCGGAGGTAGAGGTGGTGGAGGCCAGGGAGGAGGACAGAGTGGTGGAGGTAGAGGTGGTGGCCAGGGTGGCGGAGGCCAGGGCGGTGGAGGTAGAGGAGGTGGTGGTCAGGGTGGTGGAGGAAGAGGAGGTGGTGGACAGGGTGGCGGAGGAAGAGGTGGAGGCGGAGGCCAGGGAGGTGGTCAGGGTGGCGGAGGAAGAGGTGGAGGCGGAGGCCAGGGAGGTGGTGGTAGAGGTGGAGGCGGAGGTAGAGGAGGTGGAGGTCAAGGCGGTGGCGGTAGGGGAGGAGGCGGTGGTGGACAAGGCGGCGGAGGTAGGGGTGGAAGTCAAGGAGGTGGCGGAAGAGGAGGAGGTGGAGGTGGACAAGGCGGCGGAGGTGGTGGCGGACAAGTGTAGATACTGAGTACTGTAGAAGGTTATGGCCGCTCGGTTTGGAAATGAAACCTACGAGGCATCTATGGCGGGTCTCCTAAATCCTAATATAATCTAATATATAGCAAAACCCTCGTGTAACAAATGTATGGTTGGTTTGATGTGGTTGCTCCTACTAGTTGTGTTATTATGCATACATGTAATGTGTAATCTTTCTTGACAAGGCATGTAGAGGAATAAAGAGGAGTATCTTATTATGTTATCGTTCTGATGATATGCACGTAAGTTAACTTTTGATTGTTACACATTTGCTATTTTTTACATATACTCGTCTTACTATGCTTGATGCTACCACTGAACTGAATGTTATATTTTAAGCCATAGAACTGAGTACTACTGAGAAGAAATGGAGAAGGAAACAGCCCTCTGAAACACAAGATTAATAAACAGAAATCTTTATTTGACATTAGATCAGAAATAACACCCAAACTGAAGGCAACAGATACAAAGCTTCGATCCCGAAGAACAGAGAAGATATAAACAGCTGCGACAATTGTCACAATTATCTGAAACGCAACAAGTATATATAGTATAATAACAATGATAGGGCTTGATTAGCCACTATGGATGGTACGGACGCCTGGCGATGATCACGCAGTTAGTTTCCGCCTGGGGTTCCTGGCAGAGCCGGAAGATCTGGGATAATGTTGGGAAGGCCTGGAATGGAAGGAATCTTTGGAATACTGGGAAGTGTATTAGATGGAACAGGAAGCTTTGGAATTGGTGGAAGGGATGGGGTTGGTAAAGTTGGTAAGGTTGGGAGAGTTGGGAGAGTTGGCATCACATTTGGGATGACTTGGAGGAGGTTGCGAGCACCAAAGCTCGTCTCAATGCTGGAAATGGTGAGTATCATCACCAAAGCGAGAACAACTGATCTGTTGTAGAGTGCTGCCATTGTTAGAAATGTTGTTTTTACTAACTGAACTTGCAAGATTTTGCTCTATGCCTCTGATTGTTTGTGATGAGAAGAACCCAGCAGGAGCTGTATTTATAGAGCCAACAAAAAGAAGAAGAAAATCAGTCACTCTGTTACTGTGTTGCAAAGCTCCTTACAAACATCCAAACCACTCAACTACACATATCATCAATGGTTCCTCAACCACAAAAGCACACACATCTAACCTCAGCCTTCCACCAGGATAATGTGATAAAACTTATCACATGTTTCCCCCAAGAGAGGAGATGGGATCTTGCCATCCGTTGAATCTAGGGTTGATCTGAGTTCCATTTTTCGTTTCGAGGAACAGACAGTGACCACACGATCAAATCAACCGTAGAAAGCAGAAGAATTTTAGCATTTCGCTATCGGTGAGATACTAGCTATCATCTTTATGACAGTTGTTATGGTTAAAATCTTTCTTGTCCGATGGAAAGAATGAGGCGCATCCAAAAACTTGACAGCTGAGAAAAGAACATCTTCCGGGACTATAGCACATGGGCTGTTTTAACTCCAGAATCAGTCCACACATCCAAGAACCGTGTATACCTTCTAAACCGTTCTTTCCATTGCAAAACATATATGGCTAATATCTTAAAGCAATCTTCGGGAGGACCGGTGTTGTATGTTTGACAGCAAGTCAATCACACAATTGAGCACCGAATTTCTACAGCGGTTAAAAAAAAATGAAAACTTGAAGCATCAATCGTGTTAGCTGATATTAGCAAGAGTTAGACTGCGGTGAACAAAATCGGACCAAATATACTGAAGATTGGCAGCAGTACAAAGACCAAGTTCGTACCTACAAACCTGGAACACAGCCATGACTTTACAGGGCATGTCAAGTTTACTAAGAGCAAACCTTTCCAAAAGACCAATAGATAGTGCGAGAGAATCCATTATAGTAACAGTTAGTATATCTGCTGCATTGCAAGTTGTGATAATATCTCGTTGGACGCTTGTTCGTAGATACTATGTGTACAAGAATGTGAAGTTTGTAAATTCTAGACACTCACGCCCGTACCGAAAGAGCAGAAATGTACATCTACAGTGACCGGTGTATGAAATTTCCCCTTGATAATTCTGCAGGACAACTTGCTGAACTTCTGATGGAAGTTGGAACTATGTTCTGAACTCTGAAAGTTTAAAACAAAAAGTTACAATTAGAAATGGGAGGGAATGGCAGCTACAATCTCATAATCAACCAAGACTTTTGGGTAGTAAGCTTAGAAGTTCATCCAGAAAACCTCGAAAATGCGTCTGTACTGGGTACCACATTGATTTGAGTTAAAAATTAGAAATAGTTAACATCCAAGCTCTGTTCTCAAACAAAAAGGGCCGAGAAAGAGCTTAGTACCATATATGCGTTGGGCCATGTTATAAGATCACCATGTCTGCTTTGAATAGAGTACAACCAAGCAGCAAACACATTCTCAAGTGTCTTTCAGTGCCTGTAAAACGTAATATCTCGGCTGCAACTGGCTTTGATAGCTTCTTCTAAATTCTGCATCCGATCAAAATCAACCTTGAAAGTTACCATGGTGATACCATCTTTTCCAGTTTCATAATCTTGCTTGATATCTTCAGCCTGAAATGACTGCAGCTGGAAGAGATTCAACAATTACAGTATCAGACCAGACGGCTTCCAAATATGAGATGATCTTAGAATTTGAATTTGGTAAGCTAGAGGTAAAGATGAAATATCGCAAAACGATAGCTATAACAAACTACAGCCAAAAAAAAAAACCCACCAGTACTTCACATATCAAAAGCCAAATAAATAGAATTTGGATAATTATATGATCTTCAATGTTGAAATATGCAAATCAACCGAAATACTAATGATAAGGACAAATCAGAATAGATTTATCAAGTTATCTATTCCGATGGTGAATTATATTTACCTGGTGGTAGAGAACCCCCAAAAGATCAAATGGAATTTCCAGACCCATAGGGACCTACGAATAGAGATCCTTGTTACATTTCTTAGGTCGTAAAGAAAATACCACAATGTCAAACACTAAGGTAAAAATGGCTTAAAAAAGGTAAAGGGAAGAATTTATTACTTTGGACTTAACAAGACAAGTGGGGGCATTTCTCAAACATTCTGCAGCAACACCTCCATAAGCCCTGACTAAACCACCAGTCCCAAGTTTGATACCTCCAAAATTTCTACATGTGAAACATACCAAATGAGGCAGTGCAAAATGAAGAATAAGTAAATAATATGACCTACACAGCTGAAAACACTTGAAAAATGATACATCATACAAGAAACCGAAAAATAAAGGAACAATAATATATAATGAACAATGTCCTCCTCCTCCTCTGCGGAAACCAATCATTATGAGAAAAGAGGACACGAAGAATGAAATTACATTGACTTCAAATCCATACCTGATAACAACCACCATAACTCTATCTATTCCTGAGGATTCAATTGCAGAAAGTATTGGCTTTCCAGCGGTACCAGATGGTTCACCATCATCATTGCTCCGAAACTGATCCCCAACCTGAACACCCAAAATGAATTATGGGGCATTGCAACAAGGATGTAAAAAAACACATAGCTCTCACCAGAAATTAATTAAAAAGAATCAATCAGAATATCCCAATTTCCATACCTTATAAGCCCAGCAATTATGAGTGGCCTTGGGGTCCCTAACCTATTTAGCAACAATCAAACAAATAAGAATTGAATCTTCAAAACGCTATCGCTATGAATAAATCGCAAAACAAAAGAAAGATGAAGAAAATCAACGAATTAACCTCAGATAGGAAAGCATTAGCAGAGCGTTCATCGGAGATGGGTCCTGCAATGGCGATGAATTTACTCTTCTTTATCTCTTTCTGGAATACAACCCTTTCTGGAATTGTAGTAAAGGCGCCGCCTTTAGAACCAGAACCGCCGCCGCTAACTGTGGACATAGCCCTCGTACAGTGGTTACAATAATAGGGCCTGGGTTTAATGGCGAAAAATGAGGATAAAAGAAGGCGGAGACTATGATAATGAAGCTGGTTATTGACGGGAATTAACATAGCCGCACCGGCAGAGCGGGGAAATCAGTAGACTTTAATTGGATTGAGATTTTCAGTTTCTGTTTTCTGGTACTCTCTGCTTCCTAACGTTGGTTGCATTTACAATTTTGCCACGAAGAAAGATTAAAGGCGTTTTTTCATCGCCTGTATCAGGTAGCGCCTTTGTTAGTAGGTGCGTGGAAGGACGAAGATTGCGAGCACGCCTTTCAGTCGACGTCTTCATAATGGGCTTCATATCCCGCGTTGACAAAGAAGAAATTAGTGGTTAAGATTTTTATTTATTTTTTTTACAATAGAAAGAGGCTCAGGCCTTAGTACTAAATAAGAACATTTTGGGGATATACTATCCCAATAATATCATGATTAACCCAAGACAATAACATTATGATTAAGTCAAGTCAATACCCGTTGAAACAATTATGTATTGGTTTTCCTGAATCAGGTCGTACGTACTAAGATATATACAACCATTTGTTAACAATGATGGAATACTAAACATATGTAACTTGATGTGCATGTAATTTATTTATTAATATCCCTTTATGTGATATTTTTTTAATAGTTGAGTACAAATATGTTGTTTATGTGGTTTTATCTTTATTTATAAGAAGTATACTCAAATGAAGAGATTGTTAGAGTTTTGGACCAAATACTAGATAAAGAGCAAGTCAAAAGGGCATAAATGAAGATTAAAGAATTAAAGAGGAGGAAAGTGGAGAGTTAAAAAGTGAAAGGGCTTCAATTGAAAATTGGGCCATGAAACTTCAAAGTTGGCCCAAGAAAAGAGGAAGGAGTAATCAATTTGCATGGGCTTAGCTAATTAATGATTGGACCCAATTTTCTTTCTTGAGAAATAATCCACCGACCGAACCAAGTAGTACTATAAAATGGGTGGTTGTGTTATTATTTTTGTAGAGATCGGCAGGCGCACGAAGAGGAACCCGCGCTAGGAGCAATTTGGACAAAAGTTTTGAGCGGTGGCCGTGTTCTTCTTTCCGGGGTTCCGTCGTTTTATTTTATTTATTTTAGAATAATGTGTAATAACTAAACTATTTAATCTAAAATTTTGTTTGTAACTACCGTACTATTTTGATTTATTTAATTTATTTGATATTGTGGCTTTTTTCATTAATTAATATTTATTATTCTTGTTTTTCGTACATGTGATGAATACCTGATCAATATTTGTATGCTTTAAGATACTAGTTGCGTTAGAATTCTACTTCAAGAATAGTAGACAACAATGGCTGCACTAGATCAAAGAACAAGAGGAAGAATTTATGGTTATGACAAAATAAAGTTTTGTCTCCAAGTCACAAGTAAACTTGCTTTCCTTTAGTCTAAATTCGCCCACTATACAGTATAATTGTCTATGCGAATTCCCTATGAGATAAAATGGAGATCAGCACTTTAGTGAACTAACAACCTGATACAAGGATAAAAAAATATCATTGAAAATATTCCAAGTATTTGGTGATTTCATTGTACACTAAAAGCATCCAAATGATCCATATTTATAGAGTTAGAGAAAACTCTTGAGAATTAGACGTAACCCTTGGTTATGGTCCTAAACATAACTTTTCGTTAATATTTTTTCATATGGAGTCCATATGCACAACCTATTAATTGTATTTCTACAATATATTGAAAATACCCAATAGGCATAATATATTAATTGTGTCCCTACAATATATTGAAAATAACTCCAACAAGTTGAAGTAGCGAGAGTGGAAAACTAGTATTAGTTCGTAGGAATAATAAATTTAGGTAGTGAGCCACGACAGTAGGAACACCGCTTTTACGACTAGTAATTCCAAAGTTCTTAATGTGCTTTTATTAATCCCTATAGTCACGAGAGTAGTCATAGGGTTAATTTGAATAAGAGATTTAGAACACGAGAGTGTATAATTCTTAAATTGATGAATTGTCGTGAGATGAATGGAAGTTCAAAGTTACATATTAATAGATTAAATTAAATTGAGTAGTCGATAGGTGAACCCTTTGCCCTAGGTTTTCTTTTACTTGTTTATATTTCAAATTTATTGCAATTGTTAGTTTTAGATTTAGGCTAGTTTAAAATTGATAAATTGTTAATTTAATTAATAATAAGAAAGTTTTAACCGGTACTTGGTAACCTTTCTTGTGGGATCGACCTTACTTATTACTTTACTGCTTGTAATTGTATTAAGTAAGTAATTTTATATTTGACTAGTGTACGACGACTTGTCATAACCTCAGCAGGAATTTATCAATTTGGTCTTATTAACCACGATATGCACAGGGATGGATTAATGTAACTGGTTGTCTAAGCTAACTGAAAGATGAAAGTTGTTCCATAGTGATAGTGGTGATGGCCTTGGCTTTTCTCCTATTTCAAAGAGCTGTGTTGCTGTTACAAATTTTTTTTTTTTTGGTGCTATTACTATATGGATGTAGCAAACTATACGGAATGCGCTTCCTTGTTTCATAAATTCCTTCATGCGCTTCCTTTTTTTTTTTTTTTTGCATAATAGGGAAGCCAGAGGCTTAAGACGTACAAAAATCCCTAAATCTCTAGGGAATTGGAAGCCTTATCGGCAACTAAAATATTTACACACTGTAAGGGAGATATTGACAAAATGTGTCTACCCTCTGGACATGAGAAGCCAAGTTTCGCTAGTTCATGCGCTTCCTTGGATGTACATTAATTGGTCTTTGGTTTTTTGCTTCGGCCATTCGGCCCACAAAATATTGTAGAGATGCCCCATTTCAATCCACAGAAGCTTATTTCATTTATACTGGGTCATTGAAGCCGAAGCTCTTGAATATGTATTGATAAATTGATAGAGGTGTTTGTCTATACTACTGGGCAAACTTGGATTTCTGGGCGAAAACCCGTTTCGTTGCCCGCATCTGAGGGCTTAAACAAAAATTGATAGAGGTGTTTGATATCTATTGAATTTTACTAACTAGCCCAATCAACCACCAATACTAACTTTTTTTTTTTTTTGAGACCGACCAATACTAACTTTGAATTACACCAACAGAAGTAACAGAACCATTTGGTGGAGAAAAAACCTCTCTCACAATAATTACCACTCTTTCCGTCCCAAATAATTATATAGTTTAAAATTTTATTTTTTGTATATATTGATTGGACAATCATTTAGCGACCAAAAAAATATTATATTTGTTGGGGCCTTATGGATAAAGGATCTCATTTCTCTTATACATTTGCCAAAAAAACAGGATTTTTTTTATCATTCACAGTTCACTTTTTTTTAAAAAATAATCTTTATAATGTTCGGTTTTAATCTTTTATAATATTTTATCAAAAAGTGCTGACTCATACGACATAACACCGAGCATTAATAAAAATCTTAACGATGATAAATTTCTCCTCGTTATGTTTTCTTTTTTACCCTCAAAATGTTTAATTCACCTCAACTATGGTGTTTTTTTAACCTCAAAATGTTTATTAGGGTTTCAAAACTTATATAAAGAGTAAACAAGATATAGATGGATCATGGGGTAGTTTTTATTTTTTCAGAACTTATTTTTTGAATGGGAATGTATACCATTTTACATTGAGCGAGTCCACATTTTTAGAGGAAACGGTAGAAAAGATCAAAATCAAAATGTTTACTGTACAGAATTTTTAAAAATTTTTTTTTTGGTAAAGGAAATTCTGTTCCCTTTTTGTAGATTTAAAAGACAAATATTCCTTTTTGTACATGACTCTTAATGAATTACTAAACTCAACTTAATTTTATTTCGTGTAACTTATAAAATAGACTAAAATACCATTGGATCTTAAACGCTCCCAAATTCTTTTATTCGATCAAGTATTTTACAACTTCAGACATATTGTTCCAATATATATTCAAAGATTCACAGATTGTTGCTGGTTTGCAATGACGGATAACCAAATAACACATGAAAAAGGAAAAAATGAGATAATTTTTGGGCGAATTTTGACTTTTTTGTGTGATTGTTTTTTTCGTTTTTGGCGTAATCATACAGCTTTGGTGTTATGGACTTTTTGGCATATTTTTTCGGTTTTTATTTTTATTTTATTTATTTATTTATTTATTTTTGCGTAATGTTCAGGGCTAAATTTTATGACTATGGTATAATGGATGATCGGTGGCCCCTTCTTTCCCGCAAAACAGGTGCTCGTTTTTTCCTTTTGGTGTGATCATTTTTTTTGTATAGTTTTTTTTATGTGATTAACGGTTTGGTGTTAGGGAGAACAGAATGCTTTGTTCCTCAATTTAGAACAACGATTTTTTTTTTTTAATAGAAAACTCAATAAAAACATAGTATTCCCACAGGTTGTTCATCTCGAATACAATGAAAGTAGGGAAAAATGAGTATTGCTAATCCCAATTTGATTTTATTTAACACAACTTCGATTTTATTTCTCACACCTCCATAAGAATACTTCAGTCTATTTTACAAACTGTGCAAAGTATGTTATATCAAAATATTATAACAAACTATTCCTTCCGTCCCATAATTATTGTCCCCTTTGCCCAAAAAATTTTATCCAAAATTATTGTCCAATTTGACTTTTTATGGAACAAGTTACACATTTGTCCTTAGTAAAAAATATTATCCATAAAATCTTAGTGGTTAAACAATTACTTATGTAGGGGTATATCCGATTGTTTAAGGTAAAATATAATTAAGTTTGACCAAAAATAAAATATTTTATTTTAGTAAAACTGAACAATAATTATGGGACGGAGGGAGTATTATTTTGGTAAGAAGCTCGTTACCTCCTTTGCCCTTGGCCCCTGGGTCTTGGTTTTCTCTCTCTCTCTCTTTCATTTTGCTGTTGTCAACTCCATTTTTCCATTTGTAACATCATCTCAATTCATCAGAGCACAGCAATTTGTACCCCTTACAAGTGGGTGGATTATCTCATTTATTTTGGCCCCAAACTCTCTCTAGCAGCTAACACCGTCTGACTTTAAATTCCAAAGGGGTTAAACAAAAATAAATAAATAAATAAAAATCCAAAGGGGGTAAGTAGGTCTTTCTGCGTTGAAAGCTAATTTGCCATGATTCAAAGGGGAAAACAAATATTTAAAAAATGAGAAAGAAAGTCAACAGGTAACCTGCCTGCCCAGATACACCTCCTCTGACTTTCTTTTAACGCGGGGGACTGGGTCGGGTCAGGCATTCATTTAGGTATAGTTGGTGAACCCAACGGACAAAAAGTCC